CACATCTTTTCTGCCTTTGGAAACTCTTGAGCACAGGCGGACTCGGGCCGAGCCCACAGGAGCTGGAGGCTGGAGGCAAAGGGGACACACCTCACTCTCCTTAGAAGCCTGGAGAAGCCTCCAGGGGGCACCAGATGGGAAAGACCTTCCACTTACCTTCCCAGACTAGCAGGCGACGTCTCTGGCCAGCAGGGCGGTTGTGCGGATCGGAAGGTCACCCCTGGACAGTGCGCGACCTTCTCGGAGCCGCTCCTGTCCGCTCCTGTCCGTCGGGGACCAAATGAGCCCCCCTCTCTCTCTTAAACGCTTGAGGCTCCCTCCCCCCCCAAGTCTGAACCTTCCCCTGATCTTGATTCTGTACCTCTTCCTGCCCCCACGCTGTGTCTCTTTCTCTCAAAGATAAGTAAATATTAAAAGAAATGCGTGCAAATTACCGTTTGCAAGTTAGCCTGAGATAAATGAAAATCTCGTCTTGGTACGTGGAGGCTTTGCGCCCTCCTGAGGGCCGATGGAGACCGTATAGGCGGTGGCCGGGGGTGAGGTCTGTGTGTAGGCTGTGCAATCTCGACGTTACTAGAATAGTCTGAGCTGTGTTCAGCGTCTCTACGCCAGTTGCCCTAATTTTCAGAGGTGTTATTCAAATGACTTGCGCTTTTCCGAGCAGCACATCCCCTCCGGGAAGCAATCAGGAGACAGTTCAGGCTTTGGTGGCAGACTTGAGGTTTTTTTTTTTTAATGTTTATTATTTTATTTTAAGAGCGAGCGAGTGAGCACAGGGGAGGGGCAGAGAGGGACACAGAACTGGAAGCAGGCTCCATGCTGTCGGCGCAGAGCCCGATGTGAGGCTCGGTCACAGACCGGGAGAACGTGACCCGAGCCGAAGTCGGATGCTTAGCCTAGGACCTCTAAGAACATTAGTCTGTATCTCTCGAACTCTTATGAGACCCTAGCTGCTGTGTTACAGGCGTTATGAGACTGGCTTCCAACTGTCATGCAAGGTAGGGACTATATTTTACTTTAATTTTATTTTTTCAAATGACTTAAAGCAATTTTTAATGTTTATTTTTGAGAGAGAGACAGCATGAGCAGGGGAGGGGCAGAGAGAGAGGGAGACGCAGAATCCGAAGCAGGCTCCGCGCTGTCAGCACAGAGCCCGACGCGGGGCTCGAACCCACGAACCGTGAGATGGTGACCTGAGCTGAAGTCAGATGCTCAACCCTCT